ACTGGAGCTATTAATCAGTAACATACACCTTTGTTTAATCGTTCAAATATGTTAACATGGTTGACCTGCAATTAACAGAGTACTAATGGTAACCATTGCATCATTCACATGAGTTAATGCAGTTAACTTAAGTTTAACAGAACGTTCTTGATAATTATTAACGAAAGGTAAACACATTTTACCGATTGAATGATTCCAGAGATACCGGAATACCATAGTTGCATAATGCTCATACGTTCTATTTGTTCATCATGAATCACTGTAGCTATCTTGCAAATAAGAGAAAGTTAGTATTCATTGTCAACAGTAAACAGAATGGACTGCTCAATAATGCCTCTAGATTTTCCAATCAACATATTGTTAACTTAATTACTTGCAAGGGACAGAATGTTAACAATGAGAATCATTAACAATACTTGAACGTGCGACTATAGTACTACTACTCAGAGCGGTAGGTCTCTGATAGCGATGGAACGATGTCCTCGTCTTGACCTACAAACACAATGCATATAACAGATTATGAGAATAAAACCAATCTCTTTTTATTCTTCACTCAATAGCTAGGGTAGTTCTAGACTCATTATTCCTCCATAGGTTATAATCTATGCCTCATAAGATAAGAGGAATCGATAGGAGAAAGGTTCAGACGAAGAAACGGTACAAACCGGTAAACAGAAAGTGAACAGTCGCCACTAATTTGGGCATAACTATTTTTGCATTTAGAATTTGGGAGTGAGACCACCACCATTGGAAAATAGACTTCCGGGGCTTGATTTTAGGCTCAAGAATCACTCAAAACGGAGTCCGGATGCAAAAGATATGCTTGTTCAAAGTTGGCTGGACAGAGCTGTCTCCGCACGTGCGGGAAACAGTGCCGCACGTGCGGCCCTGGACAGCTTGCAGTCCGAAAATGGCTGAAAATTTGGGACTTCTCATTTTCAAAATCAAACCTTAATTACATGTAAATCAAAGCCCAAAACCCTTTAATACATGACCAATTTCACATTATTATTCTCCATCAAACATCATAACCTCAAAATAAACAAATATAATGACTTTAATTCTTCAATTAACCAACTCTTAAGGAATCAAGGTTCAATTCATGAAAAGAGTTCATCTAAACTTATATCTATCAACCAAAACTCAATTAGGTGGTTTCTCTTCATTTGAGATCATGAATTTAAACTAGTAATAGATCAATCTTAAGGGGTTAAGTTGATTTCACATACCTAGAGCCAATCTCTTGAAATAATTCCATCAATTTCCCCATCTTTCCTCTTCATTCTCAAGCTCTTCCTTCCTTCTTCTCCTTGAGTTCTCTATCTCTCCCTCTCTCACGTGGCTCCCCCTTTCCTCTAGATATTTTTTTTTGATTCTAAGAGATGAGTCCATCCACTTATAAGGCACCCATAATATAAGTATAAACATACACACCAACATAACACAATAGAGAGAGCCAAACGTGGCCTTACGATTCGTACGAAATCAAATTTCAATTAAACTTTCCAGATAACTCTAAAAATTATGAGGATCATAAATATGTCCCATGTTCTGGTTTCTGAAACCTCTAATACCTTCAATTTGCAGTATAAAGTTAACTACCCAAACGTGCATTAACGAATCAGACAAATTAGATTTCCAATTAATTGTCCCAAATAGTTCCAAAAATTCCCATTAACATATCCAAGTACTCAATTTTGATTTCTGAACCCATATAGGTCGGTAATTTCAATTTTCAATCCGTAACTCAATAGATAATGCTTCAATTCCAAAAGATATAATTAAATTAAAACACCTCATCTCATAATTAAATACCAATGATTTCTTATACGCATTTTGGGGCCTTTACATTAACAAACATTAACAGAAGAAAACCCAAAAGTACCACATGAAACTCAAACCATAATTAATCTTAGGTACTTCTTTTGAAAAACTAATATCACACAAGTGCACCGATGATACTAAAATTCACAAAGAAAAATAAACTAAATGGGTACAAAGTGAGAGAATAGCAAAACTTCAGTTGAAATCAATTTAAACCTAAATCTACCCATATATCTCAAACCCAGGACTACAAAAATTTTCCAAAAATTATTACTAAAAAAAATAAAAAACCAGAAACCATAATTTCACAAATTAACTAAAATCACTAAATGAAATGGAGAAATAGAGAGAGGATATGGAAACTCTAGTTGAAATCAATTGAAACCATAAAATTCAACCCAGTACCCAACACTACCCAACAGAAGTAAACCTAAAAACAGCTCACAAAATTCAATAAAAGTAAACCCAGTACCCAAAACTACCTTACAAATTAACTGATGATATCAATAGAAGTAAACCCAAAAACAGCCCACAAAATTCAAACCATGATGAATCTTAAGCACCTCTTTTGCAACACTAATACCCACAAATAAATGCACAGACAAAACTGAAATTTACAAGCAAATTATCACAAACTAAGTGGGGGGGGAGAGAGAGAGAGAGAGAGCACTAACTAGACAGGCAAAGGATTGGATTTCTGGAGAGAAATGCAAGGCAATCTGTATTGGGTCTAGGTAGTTTGAAGGCTCTCTTTGGATGAATCAAAGAAGTAGGGGGGAGAGAGAGAGAGATGAAATGAACCTTGTCAAACCTCAACAAATCAACACCAAATCTGTGTTCGTCTCTCGTCGCCTTCACTCGTTTCACCGCCGTCTCTCTGTCTTTGTCACTCGACGCCTCGCGTTCATCGCCTCTCCCGCTCGATGATCTGTTTAGCTTTGTTCGTCTCTCTTAGAGGAGCTAGGGCTCAACAACCAAAAGGGGCTGAAAATAAGAGGGGAAAACAAAATAGTCAAAACGACGTCGCTTTGACGCGCGGCAGGGAGAGCCGTAGGAAAGTGCGACCGAGGATCTAGACTCAATTTTTTTGTCTCATATTTTAGTAAAAAAATTTAAAAGTTACTATAGTATATTCCCAAACGAGGAGTTATTTTTATCTTTAGTGATTTTTTTAAAAAAAAAATTAAAAAAAAAATATTTTTTAGATTTATCTTGATCAGACAGAACGAAAAAATAAAAAGTTGTGACATAATTTTGAAAAACAGCACTAAAGATAAAAAAAAAATTAAAAAAATGGTGATTTTTTTTTTTTGGTTATTGCCAAAATGGATTTGCGTGTCACTACTTTCTACTAATCTCAAATATATATACTTTTATTATTTTTCAAATACTCAATATAAATATAATGAATCTTCTTGTCATATGTAATCACAATAATAAAACATGTATATACCCTATGAGGTCTCATTTGTTTTGAGGTGTAATGAATGGAATGAAATTAAGATGGAGGTGGAATTATTTAAAATCCGTTTGGACTATTTTAGTCACAAAAGACAAAATAGGCTATTTTAGTCATTAAAAACAAAACATCACATCCAACCCATAATCATTACACTCTTCTCTCACAAAAAAAAAAAAATCAAAAAGCCCTTCCCAAACCAGACTTTTTAGCCCAGGCTAAAATAGTCAAAAAATTCAACCCACTTTCCAAACCAACCCTTAGTGTTGTGGTTGTTTGTAGAGTTAAGGAAGGGATTAGGATGGAAGAGAGGATTAAAATGGAGGTTGGAAAGGGGATTGAGATAGAGGAGGTAGAGGTGGTATTAGAAAAATAGTGAGGGAATTAGAAATTTTTTTTATTTTTTACATATTGAGAATTTTTTTTTAACTATTTGATCAGGTAAGATTTCTATCAATGGTAAATATAATTTTTAAAATAAATTGTTGACAAAAATCTGATCTAATCAAGTAGCTATCGATATCCAATCAATATAATTTTTTACAAAAATAAAATATTTAATGAATTTTATACATTGAATAGATTCAAAATATCAAAATAAAATTCGTAATAAATGCCATAAACCTAATAAAACCATCCAATTCATTTTGTGAAGTAGAGACAAAAAAAAACCCCAAGTTGGAAGCGAGGAGCAACAACATTGACGAGGTAACAACATGAAGGATAGTTGGTCCCCATCCACACCAAGATGCTTTAAAGTGAAATTTCTCTAAAGTTTTCTAGAGTGTTACATTGTGTGGTTGAGATTTACTGATGTAACTTATTAGTAAATCTCAACCACACAATATAACACTCTAGGAAACTTTAGGAAAAAATCACTCTAGAGGATCCTTGTTGCCAAAATGGATTTGCGTGTCACTACTTTCTACTAATCTCAAATATATATACTTTTATTATTTTTCAAATACTCAATATAAATATAATGAATCTTCTTGTCATATGTAATCACAATAATAAAACATGTATATACCCTATGAGGTCTCGTTTGTTTTGAGGTGTAATGAATGGAATGAAATTAAGATGGAGGTGGAATTATTTAAAATTCATTTGGACTATTTTAGCCACAAAAGACAAAATAAGCTATTTTAGCCATTAAAAACAAAACATCACATCCAACCCATAATCATTACACTCTTCTCTCACAAAAAAAAATCAAAAAGCCCTTTCCAAACTAGACTTTTTAGCCCAGGCTAAAATAGCCAAAAAAGTCAACCCACTTTCCAAACCAACCCTTAGTGTTGTGGTTGTTTGTAGAGTTGAGGAAGGGATTAGGATGGAAGAGAGGATTAAAATGGAGGTTGGAAAGGGGATTGAGATAGAAGAGGTAGAGGTGGTATTAGAAAAATAGTGAAGGAATTAGAATTTTTTTTTATTTTTTACATATTGAGAATTTTTTTTAAACATTAATGTTTAATTTTTTTGTATTTTTTTATTTGTTTTATTATTTTATATAAAAATAATTTAACAATTCTTACACTAATAACTATTATCAAAACAAATATAATTTTACTTAATCCCCTCACTATTAATCTTGAATTCCTTCCCTTCTATCTCTAAAAAAAAAAACAGCAATGCTAGACTTCCCGAATAACGGTCAGCCCGTCACCTTCTCCCCTTCGCCCTGAATTCTAGCAACCTCCAACAAGCCACCCCACCATCGGCTCCATTCTCCCTCCCTCCATCCCTCTCTCTCTCTCTCTCTCTCTCTCTCTCTCTCTCGCAATGAGAGACATAGAGAGAAAAAAGATACAATGGAAGGAAATGAAACATCCCGAAGAAATCTCCTCTTCTTCTCTCTCTTAACAATCATCACTGCCACCTCTCTCCTCCGCCTCTCCGCCGCCGCAACCTCGGCCAACAATGACGATGCCGCAGTCATGGCCAAGCTCGCCAAGTCTCTCATCCCAACTCCCTCCGGCTGGTCCGCCGCAGACCCCTGCGACTGGACCGGCGTCTCCTGCGACTCCTCCGGCCACATCACCTCCATCAACCTCGCCTCCAAATCTCTCTCCGGCCATTTACCTTCCGAATTGAACCAACTCTCTCACCTCACATCTTTCTCTCTCCAACGAAACCACCTCTCCGGTTCCTTCCCTTCCCTCTCCGGCCTCACCTCTCTCCAACGACTCAATCTCGACTCCAACAACTTCACCTCCGTTCCATCACCGTTCCTCTCCGGCCTCACCAGCTTACAGGTTTTAGACATCGGCCAAAACCCTAATCTTCCTCCATGGACTCTCCCCGAAACTCTTTCCGATTCCACCACCTTGAACTCTATCGACGCCGGCGAATCCAATCTCGTCGGAACCCTGCCGGACATATTCGAGTCCTTCCCGAATCTTCAAAGTATAAGGCTTTCATACAACAATCTCACCGGTCCTCTACCGAATTCCTTCGCGAAATCCGGAATTCAGCACCTCTGGCTCAACAATCAGGCCCTAGGGCTCTCCGGGAAGATCGATGTGCTCGGCTCGATGTCGGAGTTAACTCAGGTTTGGCTTCACCAGAACCAGTTTTCCGGTCCGATTCCAGATCTTTCAAAGTGTACGTCACTGTTCGATCTATCGCTTCGCAATAACCAGTTAACAGGTCCTGTATCTCCTTCTCTGACTACTCTCCCTAACCTAGCCAATGTTTCACTGCAGAACAATAAGTTACAAGGTCCATCACCTAGCTTTCCTAAAGCTGTTCATGTGAGTCTTGGAACCACAAACAATTTTTGTAGCTCAAGTCCAGGTCCATGTGACCCACAGGTCACCACATTGCTTGAGATTGCAGGGGCATTGGGGTACCCTATGGCATTGGCTGAGTCCTGGTCCGGAAACAACCCTTGCGATGGATGGAAATCGGTTTCCTGTGATTCAAAAGGCAGCGTAACGGTGCTCAATTTTGGGAAACAGGGTTGGGTTGGGACAATATCGCCTTCCATTGCTAACCTCACCGTGTTAACTACTTTGCTTCTGAATGATAATAACCTCACTGGTACTATTCCTCCAAGCTTGGCAAATTTGGCTCAACTCAAGCTTCTTGACATCTCCAACAACAATGTTTCAGGACAATTACCTGAATTTGGCTCAGGTGTGACATTGAAGACTTCTGGCAATCCGTTTATGGGCGTAGATGTGCCATTGGAAGATGGAAGTTCAAGCTCGAGTGGTTCATTGGATGGAACAGCAACAGCAATGCCGAACAACTCGTCCCTTTCTCCGTGGGTGATTCTTGCTATCATTTTTGCCGCTGTGTTTGTTATAGCAGCTTTTGCATTTGTAACTTACAAGTATATTATGAAGAAACGGAGTGGGAAATACAAATTGTTCATCAAAGGATCCGTAAAGGGGACCAGAAAGTATATCAAGGGTGCAGATGATGCTGGGAATGGTTACGGTGGATTTGGAAGTGAACTGCCGAGTCAAAGCTGTGGTGATAACAGTGACATCCAAGTTTATGATGGTGGCAGCGTTGCCATCCCCATGGAAGTGCTCCGAGAAGCAACAGACAATTTCAGTGAAGACAACATTTTGGGCCAAGGTGGTTTTGGAATTGTTTACAAAGGCCAATTACACAATGGGACACAAATAGCAGTGAAAAGAATGGAAGTAACCGTGGCAAGTTCGCAGGGGGTAAGCGAATTCCAAGCTGAAATTGCCGTTCTGTCGAAGGTTAGGCACAAGCATTTAGTCGGACTACATGGTTTTTGTGTCAATGGAAATGAGAGGCTTTTGGTTTACGAGTACATGGCTCAAGGGACATTGGCACAACATCTGTTTGGTTACAGAGAAATGGGGGTTTCTCCTCTGACTTGGAAACAAAGAGTCACAATAGTGTTGGATGTTGCCAGAGGGGTTGAATATTTGCACAGCTTAGCACAGCAGAGTTTCATCCATAGAGATCTGAAACCCTGTAACGTACTTCTTGGAGATGATATGAGAGCTAAGGTGGCTGATTTTGGCTTGGTTAAGAATGCCCCTGATGGGAAGCATTCGATGCAGACAAGGTTGGCCGGAACATTTGGATATTTAGCACCCGAGTATGCTGGTAAGCACAACTTCTTTCATATGAATTAATTAGACATTTATCAATCTGTGAACAAGCCAATTCAAATTTTTCTTAAGCATTGAATAGAACATATTTTATCTTTTAATGTATGGTTTAGAAAGAAATGGTTAAGTTTATATTTTTATTTTTTAAAAAAGAAAAAAGAAAGGAAAAAGAAGAAGCAATATATCATAGAATTTCTTCGGATTTTCATTTTACAGTCATACATTAAAAACCTAATTCATGGATCAATTAATTCCAAAATTGCCAAATTTACATCTTAATTTGAATGTTGATCCATCATCTTTTGCCTCCTGACAGCCACCGGAAAAGTGACCACAAAGGTGGATGTTTTTGCATTTGGAGTGATCTTGTTGGAGACAATCACAGGCAGAAAAGCCCTAGATGAAAACTTGCCAGATGAGCAATGTCATCTAGTCACTTGGTTCAGAAAGCTCCTCAACAGCAAAGACAACATCAGGAAATATCTAGACCCATCTCTAAATCCAGATGAAGAAACCTTTATAAACATCTGCAAAGTAGCAGAACTGGCAGGACACTGCACTGCTCGCGAGCCATTTCAACGGCCAGATATGGGCCACGTGGTTAGTGTCTTGTCTCCTCTTATCGATGAATGGAAACCCACCACCCATGATGAAGAAGACAGCTTCAGCATTGACCTTGACATGAGCCTTCCTCAAGCTTTACAGAGATGGCAAGCTAGTGAAGGTGGTTACACATCTGCAAGCTTGTCTAAGGGAGCTTCTACGTTTGCAAGCTCATGCAATTCCAGGGATGCTGGATGACCTTTTAAAAATATAAAATGCTTTCGTACACAAGGCTCCAATTAAACTGTGGTCTGTGCCAAGAATTCTCTATTCGTATATCTCTTTTTCCCTCTGTTTCAAAATGCTCATGATATTCAGATTATTATAAAGTTCAAAACACGGTAATTTAAGGACATAGCTCAATTGGTGTGGATGATTTGAGATAAGTGGACATAGGGATTTAAAGACCGATGATATTGTGGCGTATAGGGACAAGGTGTAATGGAAACAGTAAATATTCAAGTTGTGAAGACAGGTTTCTATTCTATTTGTACAGTGGCTATCATGGAAGGCTTGATTTAGTGTACTATACAAATCATATTCTTATTCATTTTTTTTTCTTCTTAATTTTCTTCTACTTATTATTTCATTTAAACTTATATAGCGTTCTGTTCTCAGTTTTTTGTTCATATATAAAGGTATTAGGAATAGATGAGTCTCCTGTTTTGCTGATCCAGTTTCCTTGTTGTGAGAACTCATAATGAACTTAAAATTGTTGCACAATTTGTTTATCACAAGAGTGGTTATAATTGTTATTTTATAATTATTCATGTTATGCAGTGATTATATGCATTTTTGTTTTCATTATTTAACTTCATACTTTTTTATCGAGTGAAGGATAGTTTGATTAATGATGAACGTGCTGTTAGCAGTTTTTGTGATTTAGGTTGAAATCATAAAAACAACATATTTAAAAGTAGTTATATGGGTATGCACACTTTTTTTAAACTCCACTTTAATAGGAATCTCATGCATTATTGAAATACTTTTGCACTATTTTATCAAAGCAACATGGGACTTGCTCCCATTTTGGTGTGGTTTTCTGGCATGAAAGGTCAAGATTAGGTAATATATTTTTGGGGAAATTACTGTTCAAGAGGAGTTTTAAAAAATTATTACACAAAAGTGAAAAAAATTATAATTTTAATTATTAATATTTATAAACTTTATCATTTTTTTATAAATTTATTTTTGATACACCGCTAGTGTGTAATTCCCCCTATATTTTTCACTTATTGTTATGTTTGCTTCTCGGGTTTGGAAGATTAAGGAGACTGATCTATCAAACTTATCACACTGCTACATCCCGGCGTAAGTCTACTTTGTCATCCCTTCTCTCTCTCCCTTTCTCTAATTCACTAATTTTGCATTCTTTTTTACTTTCCATCTTTATAGTTTATAGATTTTAAAGACTTGTTTTCTTCATGGATTATGCTTCTTGTATCCATTCGATTTTCAGTTTATCAAAGTTGGTCTAAAATATAATTAACCAATGAGCATGACTCAATTTGTAACCCACCCGATAGAAGTAAACTACATAATTTGTCAACCAAAGTTGGGGTAATTATCACTCCTATTTGGAGCTAGGCAGGGTGGGATGACCTTAAATCCTGATGCCCAAGATAAAGATCTGATAGTGAAAAGCACAGTCTGCATTAGTGTTTGAACTATAGCATAGGCTGACAAGTTCATGACTTTGTATGTGTAAGATGAGGTAGGAACCAACTGCTACTGTTGGAAGCTTGAAGAGATATGGGAGAATTTTAGGTTCTTAAGCCTTCTTCTGAACCCTTGTTTCAAAGGGTCCTTCCAAGATGACATTTTTTTGTGATGTTTAGTTTATGGAAAATCTTTCACTGCTGGTAATGTGATTCAATGAAAACATGTGACTGAAGTGGCACTGTATACTGTGAATTGGTGAATCATCTTCTTATTCACTTCGTAGTGGTAATATAGCTTTAGGCATTGGCTCTATCTTCATTTCGAGTGGACTGGGTGTTCTCTTCTGGTGTGGAGAATCTTCCAATTAAGATGATAAATATTGAAAATAAAGTGAAAAATCACCAACCCATTGATCCTACACACAATCTCACATGATCCTACTTGCAGTCCTAATATATTACGGATTTGACAATGAATTGGATTGTTTTGACAATTTAGGATCGAACAATCCTACAATCTGAATCAAGATTTTGATAATTATGCATTTGGCTTGTTTCGGTATTCTTTAGGTTCCTCATTGTTTGCTTGTTAGGAATTATATTGCATTTACATAATTATGTAGTCGGAACCTTCTTAGTGGTGTGTATGGGTCAATCTTGGCCTTCTGCTTCTTTATTCCTTGTTACATTGTTACATAATTAGTTTTGTTGTTGTCATGCCATTGCTACATTTATGTTTTCAAATAATTTTTTTAATCAAAATTTTGGGAAAGACATTTTTTCCCCTCAGCAAACTGTTTAGACTTTTACTATTGCAGATATCACTAATTTTAATACATCATAAATGTGGATACTACAACTGTTGAATCCGTCAAACAGGTTTACTGTCTACCAAAGAGAGACACCTTGACTAGTAAGGTTTTTCTAATATTTATTTTTGGATCATTAGTATATGTATATATTTTGTGAACTGTTTAATTTTTTAAAGCTTCTTGGTTGTTATCTTTATCATTATAGATTTTTTGGGTCGCTAACAAGTTGTACAGTTAGACCTGAGCATTTTTATGGAAGATTTCGGGAATCCAACAATGTTTTGGATAATAGGAAACAGCTGACAGAGGGGTAAGATTTATCTTTTAGAATTTCAGGTGGTAATGCCATTTTGACATTATTTGTAAAACTTGTTGATTAGTGTTTTATGAGATTCGTGTTTGGGATGAAGAAAATGTATGCTTTTTGCAATACCTCAACCCCATATTTGTGTACTTCCAATGTCGTGGCCATTGGCCAGGCTGATTCATGATGCAGTGCAGTTAAGAATGTTTTGAAAAGTTGATAAAAAATTAATTTTTTGATTTTTTGACTTTTTTTGTGGCTTTTTTTGACAAAAAGTTGGCTTCCTTTGGCTAAAAAAGTTATCTTTTTTGGCTAAAAGAACTAAAAAACAAAAAAGTTGACTTTTTTAGCTTGTTGCCAAAATATGTTCCAAAAAAGTCCTGTAAAAGTGATGTCATTTATTTATTTATTTATTTTTTGTTTTTTTTGGCTTTTTGTCATTGTCAAGTATTATTTATGCTGTTGATCTAAATGATATAATATGATGGTTATGAATAAAGCTTCCGACCCGCAATGGGGTGCTGGGGGTCGGCTGTGATTGGCCAGCAAAAATTGTTTATTTTTTTTTTTTTCAACCACCTCAGGCCGACACGTGTCATTGGAGGGGTCACTATGCTTTCCACTGGGGTCTGAAGCAAAGTTGTGATGGTTATATAATGGAATTGTGGAGTTGTTCTTATATATATCTATAATATTATAATGCCTCCGTTTGGGAAGTGGGTTGGCTTTTTGGCTTTTTGACTTTTTTGGCTATTTTAGCATGAGCTAAAAAGCTTGGTTTGGAAAAGACTTTTTGACTTTTTGACTTTTTTTGTGAAAGAATAGTGTAATGATTATGAGTTAGATGTGATGTTTTATTTGTTGTGACTAAAATAACTTAATTTATTTTTTATGGCTAAAATAGTCCCAAACCTATCTAAACTCACTTGCCAAACCATGCCTAAAAGTAATAGAAACAGGTACATGAAGTAAATGAAATCCAAATTCCATCTTGTCGCCTCGATTAGCCAGCAAATTAACACTTGTATTTGCTTCTCAATAACAATGGTTAATCTTTAAAATCACTAACTGGTCCAAAAGAAACCTGTAGTCGAGAATTACATTCTTAAGCGTAGAATTTAGTACGTGCTTGATATGTACTAAAAAAGTATATTTTTTTATATATATATATACATTTATTTAGGTCACATCAATTAACATTTATCAACATATTCTCTCTAATTTTTTTACTTATTTTTTCTAATTTTCTACACATTTTTTTTTATAAAAAATTAAAAAACGTGAACATCTCAAACCACCCTTTAATTTGTTGTTATCCTGTGCGAGGTCGAAACCATTTTTGCATCCAATTCTATAGTGATCTTTCTTAGATTTGTTTCAGCTGCTATTCTAAGCCCATCACGCAAGGCCCAGAGTTCTGCTTCTATACTTGACATTGTATCCATTCATCTGCAGAAGCCCATGATCCATTTGCCTTCATGATCACTAATAATGCCTATGCCTCCTCCACTTGCTGGGCCAAGGTTGCCTTTGGAGGCATGTGTTCAGTTTGAAACAACCAACATCGGGTGGGCGCCAACTGATCTAGGTTGGGATTTTTGCAGGTGGGTTTCTGAGAGAAGGAATCATTCAGAGGCTCTGCTAAGGATGATAGGGGTGGGGTCAGGGATGGGGCCTGGGTTTTGGGTGTGGGATTGAAGATGAGGTTATTTCTTGTAAGCCAAAGGTTCCAGCAGGTTATGATGATGACGATGATAGCCCAAGGAATACCTGAGCTATGGTTTGATTTGGAGGTGCAATTTGATTTGAGCCACTCAGTGAGAATAACGTTCTGTTTGGTTGAGGGATTTGAGAAGAGATTTAAAAAGTAAAAGAGAAAATATAGGTGTCACCTAATTCACACTTTTTTTTTTTTTTATATTTGGAATTGTTTGACATCCCTTATATTAGTACATTTTTTTTTTATCTTTTTATCTTTTTTAAGTTACATCATATTTATATTTTTTTACACATCTTTTCATAAAAAATAAAAAAATACATTTATTTAAATCATACAAAACAACCCTTCGATTATGACCTTTCTTTTTTAGTTATGACTAAAAAAATATGAAATTATACTATTTTTTTTTCTATAGTTATAAATTGTATATGATACACACTCTTTGAGAGGTCTATATCATAATCTTTCCCCTTTTAACTAAGAAGTTAAATCCAAAAATCATTATCGTTCTATCCATATCCCCTCTCATTTCTACTAAGGATGGCAACGGACCAGGGTGGGGCTGGAGTTCACACTTCCCGTCCCTAATCCCCGATGGTGAAAATTTTTCCATCCCCGGTCCCGATCCCCAATGGAGAACCTATCGCCATCCCCGTCCCCACCCCTGCCCCCGCCCCCTAACAAGGATCGGGTTTCCCTGACCTCGAAAATTTCCCGACATTATCAACAGATCTGCTTATCATCCTCATCAACAGAACAGATTCAAACAACTACCATTCATCAAGAACAAACAAATGGAGATGAGAACACAGTAATACACACATGTAGTACATTATATGTGAGAGAGAGAGAGAGAGAGAATACCTTATTAGAGAAAAATAGGGTTTTTGTGATGATCTGATTGATCAGAACTGGAATTATGGACTGAGAAAATGAAATCGACGATGGAAAGACTTGAGAGCTTCATTGGATTCGTGTAGTTGACCCAAGATGTCTCGTATTGAACCCATCTCTATTTTCACTACCTCAACTTCTTCGAGGAATGATCCGCGATTTTTGTCCATCTGAGTTGATGTTGTCATCTGTAGATCGGAGTCTGGACCAGCGATGGTGGTGGTGGTGTTGGTGACTGTGGTATGCAATCAATGGCCGAAGAGGAAAGATGAGAACGAGAGAGAGAGTGATGGTGGTAGAATGAGAGAGTGATAGTGGTAGAATGAGAGAGT